CGGCACTACTATTGACACTGTTTCCAATTGACACTTGTCACTTTTGTTGTACATAATTATTGTCACTTTTATTGTACATATATATCCTGCATGTAACATGTTTGCACATTTCCTCCTTTGCACAATCTGAGTGTTCTATCCATGCCAAATGTGAAATGTAAATTTCTCCTCTGTGAGATAAATAAAGCTTATCTTATCTTATCTTAGTTGTGTACTTTAGTTGGCCACAAATATTTGTAAAATTTTTTGTATTTATTTTTCAAATTATATTTTTCCTAAATTAAATTAGAGATGATTTTACACCTGTTGTCCTTGCCTTATGTTTGTTCCATTACAGCAGTGATGATAAAAACACGTAGAGCTTGATCCATAAGGAACAAATGAGCACCTTTATTTCTGTCTATGTTATGCAGTTTTAGAGGATCATTACTCTAGATCTTCCAATTGCTTGTTGTTGATATATTTTTTGTATCAAGTTTTAGGCATATGGAATAGAAATGTATTGTTATTGTTATAGTACAATATAGTATAGTAGTATATTCAGTTCATAATTAGCAATAGCAGTAGGGTTCTATATTGTACAGTACATAGAATCTATAATCTATCATTTTTCTGCATGCTGAAATCACCATGACACAATCCTGGGCCTAAACATTAACACCTCGACTTCAGCCTCTGACGTAAATAACCAGTAGCCGCGTCCCGAAGGTTTAAGTGGCTCTGAAAGGCAGCCGTACATGTTTTATCGCGGGGATTTCCTCTTTCCTCTTTGTTACGAACACATCGCGGACCCCACAGTCAGACACAGGAGAGCCGTTGTGTAGGTCACGGCTCATGTTGAGGTTAATTAGGATTTACATTGCTTCCCGACCGCGAATACCAGGCTTTGTACTCTGACGCGCGCATCCATGAAGGCCGTTAAAGCAGCGAGAGTTGGCTCTGCACCTCTGTCCCCACAGGGCGCTTAAAGGGTCGACCTCTGTATTAATGTATAAAGTGGCTTCTCTCAAAACCACTGACGGCTCACACATGCACAGCACCTCAAGCCGTCATAAAATCACTGCTTTCTGTTACTGGGATCACTGCCTTTAAGTACTTACTGATACTATGTAATGTGGTCGCCCTTATAAACAGGACACTCGACATTCAACATTTATGGACATCGGTCGTCTGCCCCTTATGGCCAAATGTGTTTTTTTTCTATAATTACATTTCTTGTGTCTGAACTCTTTGATTCTCTGATCTGTGTTGGCGAAATCAACGGTTTTGTGAAGTCCTCTGAGATCCCTGCTGTTGGGATTTAATTATTTCAATTGTGGACATGACAAAACATAACATATTACATTTCAAAAGATTGTAATTTTGTCCCACAATTGAAAAGGAGCAGAAAGAAGAAGAAAAAATATCCATTAAGGGCTGTACAGGAATATATTGAATTGAAATGAATAAAATATTGCCTTTTTTGATACGAGCTGTACAACTGAACCCAATTGAACATAAACGTTATAGCTGAGGTCAGTATGTTTCTCCATGGTGTTTGTCCCTGTGAAATAAAATTATTGTAAAATAGTAAAATGAATAATTGTGTGAACGTGCCGTCATTATATCATTAGAAAACGTTTCCGGTATTGTAAAAAACGAGCCCTGTCAGTCATTGTCTGATGTTTTGGGCTGAGAGAGCTGATTGGCTGAGTGAAGATGGTGCTCTCTTTTTCACATTCCTGTCTGAGAAAAGCAGATCCAAAGATAAGACAGAGGCCACAAAGTACATGCAGGTGAAACCTAGTGATAGAACCATACTATTTTTAGAGCGAGGGAATAGTTGGATGGATTAATTGCAGAACTGAAATGATTGTGTTGTGAAAGTCGGGTGCTCGAGCTATAATGTGTTTTTAGTGATTCTTAGAGTTTACATTACTGATTGCCGATTACTGAAGTGTGAAACAGCTACATTACATTTATTTCAATATGCAACTGTAGGCACATGTATCTTACTACAAGCAACAGCATCACCGAGTGGGAAGAAGTAAAATGTTTTAAATCCCACCCCTTTTCCAGCCAAAGAAAATAATGTGTACATAAGAGATCTTTGATTTCTTGCTCTTCTTACCAAGTTCTACAGTTTTTTTGTAATTATTTGTGTGTATTTCATGATGTTTTCTTTTCTTTTTTTCTGTTTTGCAAGTGAAGTACTTTGAGCAGCGGTTGTTGTTGTAAATGTGCTGCTAAAATACAAATAAAACAAACAGAACACATTTGAGCTCTGAAAAAGTATTATTTGGACACTAAAAAGTATAATGAGAGTATTTACTCGTCTCAGTACAAGTTTAAACCAAATGAATATACTACAAACTATTTTAGGAGCAATGTTTTTGTTTTGAAAGACAGAAAACTGCTCTGAGCGTGATGTCATAGTGGTACGATCAATGACATCACACTATTACAGGACTGAGACGGGAGCTTTTAGACAGAAGGGGCGGAGTTACATGTTTGTGCCTGATATAAACGTTGATGGAGCTAAAAACAACTCCAGGTCCGTTGTTTTGTGAGGTAAAAAATGCTGTAACAGTTAAAATCTCAAAAAAGTCGATTTACCACAATACGTCTCCTTTAAGTTACTCCATCATTTGACACCAGATGAATACATACAATAATGAAAACATTTCATTTTGATTTATTAGTTTCCGAATACTATATGCTGGAAACGACATAGGAACGTTTTTTTGGGATGCCATAAATCAACGGAATTTTGTGAATTGCCTGGAAGTGCATCTGTTACTTTTCCACACACAGAGAGAATTTATCCACAAAAGTGAACAGAGGTGAAGAATGATTTCAGTCTGTTTTATATCACAGCACAGATATATGAGAGCCATGTGAAAACTACATACATTGCACTGCCCCAGGATCTATTCCAGACAGTATAGACTTGCTACTGAGTCGTAACATTGTGGATATTGGGGGAAAGACACTACAATAAAATAAAATCAGAAGCTGGATGTCTCACTCCAGCTGCCATCCCAGTGATTTATCAAACGATTGGTCGCGTCCCTCACACCCTGGGGACATAACGTAAAGAAAAGTGTATAGAGGCGGCTGCGGCATCTGGATCCGCACATGTGGTCGGCTGATATAATTTACAAGCGCCGTGTCGGGCCGGTTGGTCAGGAGCAACTGTTTCGCCTAGCAACATTCACGGGAAGTTGGAGAGGGAAAATGCAGCGCTGGCACGGACCCTAAACACTAAACACATCAACAGTTTATGTGTTCCATTGGTAAGCCCGGTCCAAGCCAAACGCAACAGGGAAAAGCCAAATGAAATAGATCTGGATTCATGGAGGCTTTCAGATTAGGCAATTATGTGTTTTAATTTGTAAGACAGCCAAAATACACTTGCATAGGCCCAGGCTAAATAATTTATTTATTAATTTATTTAACATGATAATTGTATTTATTATTTGACTTTGAAAGCCGGCCATGTTTCTGGATAGTGAATGTGACTGTGTACAAGTGAGTTTTTTTAGAAACAGAATCAATAAATAGATAAAAGCATCCTTAAAGCTGGGACACTGAACTGTTTTGTTAAAATAAATCTTACATATTGGTCCTGTAAAAGTAAAACATCTATGTAGTCCACTTGTATACAGTAATAGATTTAAGAAACTTTATGTAGATTTTTTTATGCATACCTTACTCTTTTTTACCTCCTAACTTGTTTGAAATTGAGAGCCAAAGCAATTTCCTAGTGTGTGACTTCTTGTTATTCACAATGGCAATAAAAATAATCCTGATTCTAATTCTAATGTTATCTTTTGCATACTTAGAAAAGAGAGCCACTGTTTGGTGCTTTGGAGTGAGAGCGGATTGGTTGAGTTAGTGTGGGCTCTTTTCCACTGAAAAATCTGATCTAAAGAACTGATAGAGACCAAAAAAAAATAGACAAAAAACTAGACAAAGAACAAAACGGTTTTGAAATCAGGGAACTATACATGGACTGTATCACATGTTTTGTGGTTTGAATGTTAAAGATGAAGTTTTTCCAGACGCATTTTTTTAATTATTGTGGGAAAACGTCCCTAAACCCTAAAAGTAGTGAAGTTATCATTTTGGAGCGGACCGATAAAAATAAACCAATGGAATTCGTTCATTTCCAAAGAACCAATGGGATACATTTACCCCCTTCACCCTCTTCCTGTTTCTCGCGAGTGCGCGCACCTGAGTTATCGGATTTTCAAAAACCTTAAATGGCTGAACACAAAATACCAATTTCACGTTTGCCACCCACTCTCCCTGTTGTGACAAAGAAAAGAAAATGTTGGATGTTTGGTTTGGTGGAGAGGTGAGGGGAGGGGGGAGTGGATTCAAGTTGGTGCTACGGTTAAGCTAACAAAATCGCTTACTGCACCTTTAAGGTACCCCAGCTTTAAGAAAGAGCCCAGTGAATCAACATATGACACATTGGTCTGAGAAAGAGTTGCACCTCTCTTAATTATTTTATTTTCTGCCTAAAAGAGCTGATCTAGGGATGGGACAGAGGCCAAACAAACATACATGTGAAAAATAGTCTGAAAAACATGAGATCTGCGAATTTGTCTAAATTGATCACAGAGCTCTATTCTTGTTTCTTGAAAGTAAAGACACCCCAGCTTCAAAGAATCAGATATTTTTGAATAACTCCAATGAACCAATTCACCACAAATCCACTCGAAGGACAGAGTTTTCACGTCTCTGTCTCATATTTTTGCCTCTTTGACAGGTGCCATAGTATTGAGAATATAGATGCGCCTGACTTCACCTTGACTTGACTTAGCGCACTGAGTGATGGGGCATATTTCAGTAAAAACGGACTATGAAAAGATAAATAAACCCTTATCTGTCAGACATTGCTTTTTAGATTTTTGGAGTGCTACCATTTGTCAGGTGCACTTTAGAAGTTCCTGCTATTTTGGATTGAAATGTAGATGATGTTTTTTTTGGCTTTAGTTTGGCCTTGGACTCACCTCACATGACTGGATACAATGGATGTGTTGAGGGTCAGGAAACCACTTCATCATTCCTGTGCACACTATGCTCTGAAAGAAAGAAAAAATGCACCACAACCATGTCAAACAGAGCAAAAATATGTTCTTGTATTGCGGATTAAGCTAATAGTAATGTCGGAAATATCATGGTTAACAAGCTATTAGCAAGAATACCACAATTTATAGAGAAGGGAAAAAATATGTCTTAAATTTGACTAACATTCTTTAAGTTTTGGATTAGCAATATATATTCATATTTTCAACTATATGAAATGAATGTGCCATTTGTTATTTAATTAAAGCATATAAAACAATTGTGTCATTGATAATAGCATGTTTTAGAAATCCTGTATTGTTTAGCATTCAACATTTTACTCACGACCTATCCCCACACAAGAATCTGCCAAAAGCATTTTGGGCCAAACGATTGAAATCTTTGTGTATCTTTTGTTTTGTTTTTGGTTAATATTTAGATAATAAAAAGGACTTGTGCTGCAAATACTTCTAAATGTGTTGGTGATGTTCAAGGTTCTCTTTAAGCATAAAACTAACCTAAATGAGTGTATATGAAAAGACACATGAATGCATTCTTTCATGTTTTCAGGGCCTTCCAGTTTTGAACAGATATCACTTTTTGTTATTATCACAATTTGTAGAAGCATCATTTCCAAAGCCCACAGAGATAAACTAAGGTGAGCTTTGATTTGTGAAGTTGCAGTAATTAATGAATAACTAAAATAGGCAGAGAAGCCATTCCTTCGCTGAGGTTTCCGTTGCAGCACAACCCAGTGATGGACATATTTGTGATAACATACACAGCCATCCACCTCTTGGGCTAAAAAAAATACCTCATAATTCTAAAAGGTTTTTTATTATGACGCAATTGTGGAGATTAATGATGGTCATTTGAATAGGCAGCCAACAGTCTACATACATCATTTTGCTTATTTTACAAAGTATCCTTTTGTGGTTGGCTACTTTGAATATAACAGTCATCTATTAGTCATTTATTTATTGTTTTCAAAGACAATAATCCGCTTGCGTGTGGTCATACTGGTCTAGGATTGTTAAGACAAACATGTTTTTGTATTGTTCACACAACATAAAACGAAATAAGATGTATAGCAAAAAGGAGTTGAGGTCCACTGTGTTTATTCTCGGTTGGTTTCAATGAATAGAATACATCCAGTGAGCGGGCGCTGCTCTTCATGGATCTGACCAGTGACCTGCTTGTCTCAGGGCCACAGTGGAACATCCTGGCACAGCAGTCTGCATGTAGATCAACAGGACTGGTGGCAAACATCCATTAGAAGTTAGTTATATAACGTGACTTTAATGAGGTCATGGCAAACATCCATTCAACTGTTTGAGCTCAGACCTGCCGCGCTGGACTGACCACCAAAGGTGAAACTGACTCATGGTTGTGGCACCAGGGAGTTCTCATGATGTTGAGTAAAAGTTATCTTTCCTAGAAAGTCTGCTCTTGATAAGTTAAACATGGCGAGCTCTTGAGTCAGATGGTAACATTTCATAAACAGTTTGACGTCAGGAAAGATCTTAAACCTCTTCTATCTGCTGCATTTTCAGAAACAGTGAAGAACAAGCTCTGATAACCAGGACCACACTGATGGTAGCTCCCACGCAGCATTCAACAGGGGTGGGATTGCCATCATTATAGCAGAAACAACGTGAAAGCTTTTCTTGGAAACAAGAAATATCTGTTTAACCAACTATCAAAATGTGCTCTACAAACCCAGTGAAATGAACTTTATTGTCATTTCACAATTGAGTTATTGACACAGGTCAGATGAACGTTGTTTTCATTATTTAAAGTACAACTTGTTGTGAGAGAGCTGCTTGTCTAGTCCACTGTGTGGGATTGAGTGACAAAAAGGAGATTTATTAAGTAACGCTTAATAAAATGTGTGTTTATTGTTTTACATGTTCAAGACTACATTTATGCCTGAAACTAATGTCTATTTCACATCAAATTTGTCAATAAACTTAAACTTAACTTAAAACACCTAAAGGGTTAAAATCATCATAACACTACTACATTAGGGGATCATGTACCAACTATTCCCTCTTCAATTTCTACTACCTCTACAATGTCTAATAAAAAGTTTTGAAATATGTGCCCCATCTGTGCTCATATACAACGCTGGTTTATAAAAATGTCAACAGACCATTTGCAACATCCCATAGAGACCAGCACTAATTCATGGCTAGTATAATTAGCTAAGAAGATTGATCATTCTCGGGCTATATCTGGGTAAGGCGCCAACTTAGAGCAGATTTGTAATTTGTTTTTGCCTCCAAATGGTTGGGTCCACATCAGTCATGTTTGAGACAAAAGGGTGGGAGCACGAAAGTTTAGTGCAGTAGCCCGAGCAGCGTTGAAGTTTATCCCACCAGATGTTTGCATGTATTATTCATCCTAATAGGTGTTTTTGTCCAGGCCCTGTTTATCATGGATTGGCTTACAGAAAGAGCTGGTTGCACGGCAGCTAAAAAAACAACTGATTCTTAAACACGTTGCCACTTAGTAATTATTGAAGAGAGGAGTTTTAGGGTTAGGGTGGATAATGTTTCCTTTTGCCCAGATTTTGACCTGGTGGTGTTGAAATGTGTTGAGTCACAGACAAGCTACTATAGAAGGCACCATTTTATGCAATAGCTTGAAAAAGTACAATATTCTACACGTTTTCTCTCGTTATGATCAAAAAGATAAATTTATTTTATTGACATTTTTATTTTATGAATTACCAGATTCTCAGTTGGACGGCTGGAAACAGTCTGGACCCGAGCATTCCACTGACTTGTTCCAAATCATTCCAATGTGTGAAAAAGCTCCAAGTTATGAAACCCTAATGGAAGGTAAACCTGAACTCTCCCATCCACTCTGATCCTCTTCCCTGTCCCTGCTGAAGAAAATCAACCCCACAGCATGATGCTGCCACCACCAGGTATGACAGTGAAGGTGACGAGCAGTTTTCCACAGCACATTTTTTTTTTTTACATTTAGGCTAAAATGTAAAACTCTTTTAGTCTCATTGCATCAAAGAAGACAATTTGTATGTGCAGTGTATGACTAATAATTGTCCCATGTAGAGATTCTTCCATCTGTGTATGTGTGCAGCTCCTCCAGAGACCAACACAAAGGGGCATATAATTGTGGATTTAAAGTAAAAAAAAATTCTTTATTTTTTTATTGTGGAATGCAAAAGTGTTCAGTTCCAATTTCTTTGAATGCAACCAATTGCAATCACAAGTTTCATGCATGCCATGGCCCATGGGCCTCTTGACTGCATCTCTGATCATAGTTGTCCATGTTCAGCTTGTTTAGGTGGACTCTGCTTCGTGACATATTCTCCTTTGATATTAAATTACAATCCAGTAGGCCGTAATCATCAGGGAATATGTGAATACAATTAGTTGCAATCAGAGGAATGGAAGCGGAATACTTTTTACTAAAAAGCTGCAGACACTCATGTGGTGCACTATGGCATCAGGCCGTGCCCTCTGGGATTATGAGTTGATGGCAAACGGGCCTCTGGATTCTGCAGCACAGGGGCCAAACTCATGTCTACGTGACAGACGTGCTCTGTCCTTTCCCCCTCAGTCGGAGCAGCAGTAATAGTGTGAGTACTCTCAGCTGTATGTTCGACTAAATCATCTTTTCCAGTCCTTTCCTCTTGTTCCATTTAGCATAAAATTGCATTCTGTCTTTTTGTGAATGTGGTTAAATGGTGAGCAGTGATGGTAAATGTGAAACGTGACTTTTCTTGGTTTTTAATGCATAATTTTTAGTGGCAGTTTTGTAATGTTGCCATTAGTGACCCAAGCAATTCGGGAGATGAAATCGAAATTAGCCTTTAAAGTTGGGTATATTTACATTAACATACTTACTGCACCATGTACTGTGCCAATGAAATACATGTCAACAGCTATATTTCAGTATTTAATGATGTATGAGAAAATCGACTTTTCTCATGCATTTTCCCGTTTACATTTTGTGCTGTTGTTACTTGCCATTTCTTGCCTTTCAACACATCTCCGGAAAAAGGTGTAACTGTTCTGGTTCTTATGAGCTTTCCTAATGGAATTAAAGTGAAACTAAGGACTTGACCTCATCAAAACCTTGACATGTCCCACCTGGAGCTGGACTGGCATCACCCAGTGCTGCAGGGTGTCTGCTGTTGTGCCATTGGGCAGCACCACTGCGTCACACAGATCCATGCAAACAGGGAGGCAAACAGCACCTGCACAGAAAAGGGAAAACAAACCGCAAACACTAATTTATTCATGCGCTAACTTGGCGCCTCAGACCACATACCGCCTCATTGACTGTCATCAACCACTCTCAGTCCTGGCGCCCTTTGATTTGAGAGACTTCCTACTGTTTTGCTATGCGTTACATCAAACTCACTAAGGCATTCCTGCCCACGCTCAGAAACAACTATTTCCACCACAATATGTCAGTTCAGTTTTATTTGAGTGAAAAATCATATGTTTGTTTCATTTGCTTTTGAATGATGTAATCAGAGTTTTGGAGCACAAATGCCAAGTTACTATAGTGTTAAATATGAAACAAACATTTGGTAAGGGCTCAAGCATGCAAGAAATTCTTTTGATGCTGCTAAAAGTCTCCTGGTTCAGTTCTGTGTTTCGTCTGTGTTTTGTCTTCCTATAATTTGCCATGCAATTCAATCTGTGCACATGTCAACTACTTTTAAATACTGATCCACAACTAGATATTGACACAATGAAATCTAGCCAATGCTACGAAAGAGATGTTCTTACAAAATTAACAAAGCTTTCACCACTTTTGTGTTAAAATCTAAGATTGCATGTGGAGGATATTTTTCAATATAGTTTTTAAATTAGAAAGTGAGTAAATCATGATGGTGAACAGCATTTTTGTTACACTTTTGGCACAAATTTGACACTGCTTAATAAGGTTGTCCCCGTCTTTTGTAGAGACTAATTTTCCTAAATAATACATACATGAGAGCAGCAAGAATGTAGAAGAATAAAGATGCAGATTCATAATGTTGAATATTAAAGTTAGGTACATCCTAAAATTAGGATTCTAAGATTAGGAGTTCCTAACTTTAAAATCAACTTTGTAATAAAAGCCGACAAGTGAGTATCCTCACTTTCAGAACAGTTCGGTTCTATCACTTGTTTTCCACATGCATGTATTTTTGTATCTTCGGTCTATGTCGTATCTTTCCATCAGCTTTAATGTACAACATAAGTGTAGTGTATCAGCGCTCACTCAACCAATTAGCTTCCAGTAGGTAAAATTCAAAATAAAGATAAAGACAGTATGGTGCATGGTGCAAAATTCTACTTAAACAATACCATCTGCGTGGGCACAAAGAGAATGTATTTTATGAAACAGATAGAGTAACATTAGGATTGTGAATAACATGATCACCAGCTCACCCACACTGGTGCCCTGGTCGCAGATGTATTCCACTGAGTTGATTTCAGGCGGCGGTGGACACGATCCCTGGAGCTGAGAGCACATTGAGAACTCTGATGTCCATTTTCCTTCCTTGGTGCAATGAATTACACTCTTTTGATGAAAAACAAACATAGTTATAATGTTCTGGCTAATCATTGTCAACACAGCCCGTGTCGTACATTCTCCTTGGCGTTGGGACATTGCAGGGTGCAGTAGCTGTCGTAGTATAGACCGTTGGTACAGGTGTACATTCCATGAAAGACATCAGGTAGAACTGGACAGGACACAGGTTCACATCCAGCCTCTTCCCACTGTCCCTCCTCCAGGCACTCCAGTTTAAAGTATTTTCTAGACACAAAACATAAATGCGTAAGTAGTAAATAAATATTATGTAAGTCTTTTGTAGTCCATCTTTAAAAATAAGTAAGTGTAACAATATGTGTTCTAACATGACTTTATGTGGATACTTGTGTGGAAGGCCTGTTTAAAGCTACCTAATTGCTGCTGTTTGATTTCACATGTTGAATTCATAAAGCAATGGTGGTTATTAAAATGTTTACACCAATAGTTGGGAAAGTGAAAGCTATAAATATACACAGCTGCAAATGAATGCAAACATAAAATAGTGCACCACATTGGCATCAAATGTAGTGAAACTATAAAACATAAAGGCCGCTACAGTTGAGCTTTAATGGTCATACTGTATGTGATAGTAAAACTGTGCATAAGTGATATTTGATACTATGTTTTCTGAGCCATTTAGACTGAGCCCAAGGGCTGTGTCTACATGAGCAGGGACCTCATCTCATTAACAAGCAGTAATGCAGTAATGAGCAGCTCTTAATGAATAACAATGCCAGATATACAAGCATAGTTACAATCTGCACACACTGTGTCGTATGCAAGTCTACAATACACAAAGCACTTGACAGTATCGTGTCTACTTTGTGCCCAGATGTACTCAAGTCACAAAGTCTGTATTTGGAGTCAAACTAACATACAGTACTGTATTCACATGTTGTTGTTTGATAATTGCTGAACCATGTACCTTGGCTTGTTCTTCTTGATGCTTCCCGTTACAAAGTATCCTGGTCTGCACTTATACCGACAGACAGAGCCGATGTCGTGCCCTGAAGCCAGACACTCTCCTGTCAGCAGATGTGCATTAGCGACACTGGGAACCTCTGGGCACTCAATCTTACAATAGGCCTCAGGGAAAGACCACAGGCCATCCTCCAGACACACCAGCCTGTCACTGTCACCTGACAGAAAACACAATCTTTATTTATTAATAATATAGACACATGATGTTCCACCGTCATTTTGTATCTACTACAACTGTATTGTTATGTCAAAGCATGTAAAATGTGAATGAAAACCAAGCTGAAAGAAGTGTTTTATTAGTTGTTCAACCAATTATACTTTTCAATGTATGGATTAAATGTAAGTTATAGGTCATATTGACTTTGCCAAAACAACATCCACTGGACGGCGGAATTTTTCTTCTCTGCTTTGATTAATTTATGTCCCCAGGGTCATTCCAGCATTTCTTTTATAGTTTTACAGCAAAGGTATAAGTAAATGGCTTCATTGTTGCCCAAAGCTAATATTGTCTGAGCCTGCATGGCCCCACATGAAGGATGTGTGAATGTCAGTCTTTATGGACAATCATAACATACTTTTACTGGGACTATAAAATATAATGAATCACAATCACGGAAGTATTGTGTGAACAAGCACTAAATCAGCAGTATATATCAGCATATACAGTTCAACTGAAATGTATGACCACTACTAATACAAAGGATTCTTTCTATAAACATAATAATAAAGTGCCTTACATGAAAAAAAAATATTTGAATATTATGTGAAAAACCAGCATAATTGTGACGTGAAAGCGATATGATGAATACCATGATTTACAAACAGAAACATGTGGCATTTCCTCATTTTGCAAACAACTGACCGATGAATGGCCAAATGCTGACCTGCGTATAAGGAGGGTCCACCAGAATCTAATCTTATCTTAGTGTAATTACATCTGTTCTGTAATGGCCATTTCAGAACAATTAGAGAATACAATTATCATAATGAAAGCAATGTTATGACTTATATTTTGGCTTCTGACGCAGTGAAGAAATCCATGGTTGAAAGAAAGGAATGTGGGGCATACATTTTGGCCTAAATGACAAATGTAATGTGTGGTGGAAAACTGACACTGCTCAATCCTCACACCACCCCCACTGTCAAACCTTTTCTTCAGCAGGAAGTGTCAGAGGTGATATTTAGGTGGATGGAAAAAAATATTGGAAAATCTTGGGAGAAAAACTGTTGGAGGAAATAAAAACTGCTCCTCATTGATGAAATTATATATTTTGTATTTACTGTGTTTTGCTTTTTCTGGGTTGTTGCGGTTGTCTGTTGTTTTTTATCAGCGGTCTTTCACATAGTGTGCTGATAAAACATTGTCATTGTTGTGGTTCTAACTTGTAATGATACAGAATGTGGACATGTCCATGAGAAAAGAATCTTAATGAGTGTATCTCCCTGTTTGATAAAGAAGAACACACAAACATGCTGTGACTTACCCTGTAGTATGGCAGGAGAACCACATGTGAAAGAGCACTGTTTCCCAAAGGTGGTACCCCAGGGACAGCTGAAGATGGCGTGGTAAACATGAGACTGGTCTGGGGGTCCACAGTCCACAGGGCGACAGCGAACCATACGATCCCAGGAACCATGGAAGCACTCCAACTTCGCCTCCCTCTGTAAACGGACAGTTTATTACTCATAAGAATACCAGTTCTTGGCTTCTGCTTCATGTATTTTCTGATAAAAGATAAATGCAATTGCAAAATCTTTCAAATTTGTCCAACAATGTCAATCTTCCAGAAGTATTGCCATTTGAATGAAACTAAAACATTTTTTACTGTATCAAAGAAGACTATACCCAAAGTGTAGATTAATGATAATTACATAGATGTGAGTCAACAAGGACGTCTTGTTACATCTCAGAATAGTAAGTAAGTAAGTAATCTTTATTTATATACCGCCTTTCACAGACCAGAGTCACAAAGCGGCTTACAATTGTTATTTTTTGGCATTTGTCCTCTCTCTCCACACAGAGATGGGAGCGGGATTGCCAGTACAGGAGGCGCATGCCAGACCTATTGTACATATTTTTTGTGGTAGGGGAAACCGGAGTACCCGGAGGAAACCTACGCAGACACGGAGAGAACATGCAAACTCCACTCAGAAAGGCCCTGGTCCAACCGGGATTTGAACCAGAATAAACCAGATATATACTTGTTTTACAGAAGATCAGGGGGAACAGCTAAAGCGTTACTGATTTCATACTCTAATGGATTATGAGAATTATTTATTTATTCAAGGTTCATTTAAAACACATATCTGACAAAATTGCATGATTGTGTCCCATCATCTGCTCCCAAAAATCTGATGACAATTTGGAAGCAGCCATGTTAGCTTGTAATATTATGAAATAGCAATGTTATTCCTTTAACTTCTGAAAGGATGTCTGGAAATGTCATCTCTGCAGTTGATAATTATCTTTCCGTATTTGGGACTTATTTGCCAAAAGGTTTCACTTCTACAATGCATGAAAAGACATGTGGAAGGAGAGAACCATCAATCCGTGGAATAGTACAGTAAACAATCTTTTTTGTTATTTATAATTTTTAATAACAAGCAAACAAACACACAACGACATAATCTTCAGTGAGCATTTCTTTGAGTTTTGTGTACAGATCAGATGTGTACAGATGTTGGTTTTGCGTTCCAAGCCTCTGTATGTGTCAATCCTCCGTTTTAATATCCACCTGATATGACCGCTCCCCTTTTCCGCTGAGAAACTTGATGCTGTAGCCGCGATGGCACCTCACAGAGCAGCGCGATGCCTCTCCTCCTCCTGTGCATCTTACACACAGAAATACACATATATATTTATCAGACTCACAATAGTAATTATAGGAGTGTACGTCCTACCTGACAAAACCATGGTCGATCTGTGGCGGACTGCAGCTGTCCAACTGACACGGCTGCCTCAAACAACTGGGGAGAATAATTAATTAAACAATGACATTTTGACCACATTTGATTTATTTTTTTAAATATGTGTCAAACCAGAGATATTTTTGGGGAGACTCACTTAAAGTCAATCCTTACAAACCTGAGGCTTACAAAAAGTTTGTATGTAATGGCTTTTAAAGTTTCTACTCTTAAAAGGTTACAGTTGTAGTTAGAGTAGAGTTGTACATACTAGACATGTCGCAATGTATTGTAATTAGTGCTGTCCAACGATTAAAATATTTAATCGCGATTAATCGCATGAATTTCATAGTTAACTCGCGATTAATCGCAAATTAGTCACACATTTGCGTGCTGTGTGCAATTGCTTTTTTTATTGAAAACAATGTGTAGTGTTATATTACACACTAACATTTGATGCAAAATCATCAATAAATGGATGACAAAATAAATAATTGGTAACAAAAAGCCCCTTCAATGTGTGTGTGTGGGTGTGTGTGTGTATGTGTGGGTATAGACCATAGACTGTATAGAAACATCATGGTGTCATTATGATGATGATAAACAATCTGTAAATATTTTGTAAATTTGTTCATGTAAATACTCTATGCTGTTTCTCTGTTTACCTTCGGTATATCTATGACTGTATACTGTTTTCTTGTATTGCCTTTTTTATTAACCCCTCCCCCCATCTCCCACTTCATGTCCCTCCCCTCCTATGTGCCCTTCTGGGTTTCTTCTTTGGCCCCCTGTATCTCCAACTACATATTGTTTGTAATCTCTGTCTACAATGTATCTGAACTAGTCCTTTTCTTTGTTTCTATGTGTTTGTCTGCAATAAAAAGTAAAAAAAAAAAAAAAAAAAAAATCTTTTTTTTTTTTTTTTTATCGCGCGATAAAAAAAATGACGGCGTTAATATTGATTTGCGTTAACGCGTTAATAACGCGCTATTTTGGACAGCCCTAATTGTAATGTATTCTTTGTTTGCTAAAAAAGGGGTAGTAGTAGTAGTAGTAGTAGTAGTACATTATTGTATTTAATTAGTGTCACTAAAGTATAAATGGGATGGTTTTCTTTGGTATCATTTTTTGTTCATTGTAATGTTGAATCTGAAGCTGTCGAATGCAGTGTAGACGCTGCAGTGAGTGTGTGGAAATGTTCTAACTTATCGCATCCAAGCAGACATGAGTGTAGATAATGAAATAATAGTTGAATTGACATCTGTTGACATGTTCTTGTGTGCATGTGTAAAAGGGAGAGGTAGCTGTGGGGAAGCCCACCCTGTGATGCGCACCCAGTCAGGGCGAAGGTGCTGAAGTGGCAAGAGGTCCTCAGAGCGACGCCTGCCACAGCCACAGACGGAGAAGAGAACTGCAGGATCACAGCCGACGTGAGGAAGAAGGGCCGAGACAGCTCATGGGTCACATTCACCACCAGAGGGTTACGATGGCACGATAGATCGTGAGAGCCTACAGCAAAGAAGGACCTCAGCATCCGCTCAAATGCACTGTTACAATTCTGATATTTACATCAGCTTTCTAAAGAATGTAAGAGGCTGTGTTCATGTGATATCTCTTTATTCCAAAAAGCCTATCATTTAAAAAAGTGGTGGAGGGAAGCTGAAAATGTTTTTCCTGGTAGCTATACACCTTATTTATGAATAGCTAAATTCTGTCAATCCTGAACTATGTTTTGCTTCTTTGCCAAAGATTTGTACTGGCACCTGTCTTCCAGAAAACAAATCTCTACAAAATACATATTACCAGGGCAAGGGCTGTGATTAATGAGTTTTGGATTGTCAGTGATGTTTCAATAAAATCACTCTTGCACTCATTTAGTGTCATTATGTGATTTACGTTATGATTAGGCCAATTCAAGCAGCAAAAGTGAATGGTTATTACCCAGTGAGTGGTTCCTCCCAGTTGTATCTGACAGTAGAATGACGGCGGTTCTTCGACACTGGTCTGCGGACCATGAACCATCTGAGGCCAGGTACACCATGACTGAGGCGGCTACCCCGGGATGAGGAAATCCCACCTGCATTTATAGAAGTTCACAAATAATGGATAGATTTTATAATTTAAACTGTAAAAATACATGCTTCAGAAGGATCTATGACATCCCCTTTTAACCATAGTGTTTTTGGCTATATGATAAGTCAGAGGATGGGACAGAAACCTTATAAACATTCCTTCTACTCACACTTTGGTCAATTACAGAACAGATTTCTTTTATACCATTGTTTTGTCTACTTTGAATACATGTGTGTAATGCACATACAAGCTGTACCAAATACATCAATACGTCTCTATTCATATGAAATGGAAAGATAAAGTAAAACAGTGTAATAATAAGGGCTCAGTAATCCCAAATATGAAAGACAAGAATCAGTCACATCAACAGCTACCCAACACTCTGGACCCGCTGAGCTCAGTGTGGGAAGAGTGGTCACGGAAAAAATGAATGATAGCAACAGTGCTCAAAACACACAGACCCAGTGGAAAGACAGCCTTCTTAAGTGGTGAAAATTAGGTACTTAGGTGCAGAGTTTATTTGAAAACTGATTAATACTGTTAATAGGTTTTACATCAATAGCTGGGTGTTTGAAGTTGCACAGGCTCTTAGGATCATTACGACTATCCATCAACCAGCATTGTTGTCATTCCTTTGATTGCTTAAGACTGTTCATTATGAATAAATGGTCCATGGTAATTGAAGACTTTTTTGGTCTGAAATGGAATCTCCAAAAACATACATTTGACACAGTAGTTTATTGATACTTGATTTTTTTATTTGTCAAAAATAGAAAGACAGTCTTTACCTTAAGCCAGTATGTGTGTTCCAAGTCGTTACTGTGGTCCTGAGCCGTGCAGGGGAACCAGGCTCCAACCGGAGGTCTGTCCGCCATGTCCAGATGATGAGACCTGCACAGCTGAATATAGACAATAAACACAATGAAAGTTCCTGTAGCAATAGTAATCTGTCAAAAGGCATTAATAAACCATTCTCTTTTCTAATACTTCTTTAACTGATAAAAGTAGTTGAGCCAAAAATGGATTTACAGCCCCCAAATGTTGTTATTGTTTTCATTTTGATGTCCTGCCTTCTTCCGTTTTACCAATCAGACAGTCCGTGATCTGGGTTACCAGAACTCCCCGCGTCAAGCTAATCTCACTGGTAAAGTAACATGTGGCTGCAAGACTAAAAAAAGGTCTCATAATGATTCATAATCATTAATGACAAAACAAAGAATAAAAAAAGGATTTCTATCAAGGTGAAAAAGGTGTTTGTTATAGATTTGGTGTTGACAAAGCTCTTGTATATACAGCTATTTTGGTCCCAGCTGAATTCATCTGCATATCTGGCAACCTGAGTCAGGCAGAGTGGAAGAGGTTGCAGTACCACTTTTAGCCAGCTTTTTACAAACTGCTCCTTTAACGCTAATAAAATAGGTGCAAATAATTACATGTTGAGATATTTTCTTCTGTTACGCTTCATCTTCGCAGGATTTGTGCCGCAGCACTTGAGTAAATGTGAAAAGCAAATGTCTAAAGTATACATAATGTGGCCTGATTACGTTTTCTGAGCATTTGCTTGCAATATATGTGTAATAGTGTAATTTTGTTCACAATCACCGCTGCATAGTTTGAGTAATAAGGGAAAGTTACTGTGTTGATAGCGTTCAAAAGCCTCAAGCGACTTCTCCACAGGGCGCACAGGGACGAGATCAAAACTCGTCAGAGCTGTTTGATAATGCCTCTGATTCGAGTGCAGTTGTTGAACGTCGGATTTCCTATACTTTTCTTTCGTTCATTTTCTTCTTGAATTTTGATTAACATTTTTATACAACCTGGGGTCAGTTGTCATTTACATCTTTTTCTTCCACAATGTCCTTCCAGTTGTTTAGTGTGTGGGGGGAGGTTTCTTTGTACCATTTTTTATGTAATTTCATTTTTTGAGGATGCCAGGAAATGTTTTAACAAATAATGATATTTTTTATGTCTCTTCCTGTTATACACCCCAAATAATACACTAGCCAAGTTTTTGTTTTGTTGATTTCTTTACCAATAAATGTCCAGAAGTTCCAATGCTTTCGAAACACACTCAGTGACAGAATTGAGCTCAGCCTACAGTGGATGAGGACTATATGGAGTAAGTTGTTATGGTTTAGTCCTTGTTGAGTTGAGTTTTAATGTCTGGTACAATTTTAGCGCTGATTTTGCAGAGAATAAGTTCCAAGTTTAGGTTTAGTGTGAAGTAAGTATAGTATTTCATAGCTGTTGTTAGCTAGGTTCTAATAAATGGGGAAAAGAGAATTCTATAAAATCATAATTTCTTGCATGCAGCAATGTTCAGTATCAGAAGGCGGGTGTGTAATTTATGACATCTGTTGCTTTTAATGCTGACGTTGTAAATAGGAGTGACAGGCTTAAGATTGCTTGGAAGTCCATGATAAGATGTTTCACTCAAAGTTCTGCCAGAATGTCCTTCAACTTTATGAGCTGGGCTTTTCCTCTTCACTCGTGGCTTCAGCTCCCAGTCAGACACACTTTACTTCGCAATGTCAAACTGCTTTCACAAATCAGAACTGGTTTATCAGCCTTTGAAAGAATGCATTCAATACAACACATAAGAAAATGTATGATGTGTCTTTTTCGGAGACTTAAGGAAGGAATTTGGGATCTACAACAATTCTGTTATGTACTTTTGATTGTTGTCATGACAATTTCCATCCCATGAGTGGTCTTCTTAAGCACACATTCTGTTACATAATTGTTTATGTTTGTACTCGGTTTACCCTTGTGTCACTAGAGAATGACTCCTTCTTCAACATCATGAGTTTCTTTAGTAAACTCGACACAAAGAACCTGTCAGCAAACAGTTTGGCCAGCTGGTCTTCATAGCTACTATTTATTTTATTGGAGGAAAGTGTGTTTAAGATTTTGCTTTTTTAATGTTCAAATCGCTTTGCAGGCATTTGGTAGGGAAAGTTCAACCTGGTAGAGGAGTTAGGAGCTACAGCTTTACACTGTATGAATCAAAACAGTTTTTTTTGCTTTTTGATTGTTTAATTACTCCACTTTTTGAAAGCACTGCAAATTTCTGTTTTAGCTTCAGTATATAAAACCAAAAAATTCAGTTTTGTTTTGTTTTTGTCTGCACTATCTTTTTTAAAGTGATTGTCTGGAGTTTGTCAGAAAGAGAGAGAGAGGTACTTGATTTGAAAAAAACCATGCAAGCTCCCTCCCCCTTCCTTTCTGATTGGTCTACAACTACGTTTCCGTAACACTTTTAAATATAAATTAGAGAACACATTATACATATACATTATTAATACACATGCACAGAAGTTTTCAGAATTATTTGTTAACGTTTTCATGACAAAAATAATGTTTTTATGCACAAAAAAAGCGATCGCGGTAAACCAGGAAGAAGCTATTATCATTAATTGCACATTATAGGACACATCTGCAGAGGATCTGATTATGGATATACAGTAGGTTCAGTATATAAATGGGTAACTCAGCGCGGATGTTCAGAATTCTTTGTTCAGTTTTCATGTAGTTCCAGAGCCTAATAGAGGCTTGATTCGGAGGCTCCGTGAAAACAAACAACTGAGCATGCGCGCAGCTGCGAGCATCAGCACCGATGATTGACAGCCCTTGGCATGACTCGATTGGTTAACCTCGACGGCATCGTGGATTCTGAGCTATAGGTAAGAGAAGGGAAGGCGGGACTTGCCCGAAATATTAGAATTAATAAAATGACTTATTTTATATCAACATTTAAGGCCAGGAAGTATTTTTTAGAATGTATTAGAGGTAGTATACTTTGGTCTAAGTAAACAAGACTTTCTTCATTTTGAGAAGAATGCCATGCGGATTAGACCACATGAGCACCAGCCATATTACACTTCATCCATAAAGATTAGAAAGAATTTGTGATCACCAAGCAGTGCTCTGGAGAATCTGGGACTTGGCTAATGTTGATGTTGCTGAGATTATAGCAGGAACATATTGTCCAGGATATTATGGGTACATGTTTACCCCTGAGCCTGTATGCACTAAAATGCTTTTATGTTTCTACCTTTCTGAGTAATCCAAGTGCCTCGTGTTCTAGCATAATATGTTTTAGGTAGTAATGATTTCAGGGCATTGCATTTGTTTGTGTAAAGCCATCTGTATCAACAGGTGAAGCTTTGAAAATTTGAATATTGTCCAAAAGTTAATATATGTCCGTGTTTCATCTTAAAATGTGAAACTCATTACATACAAAGTGACAAATGCCAAGCCTTTGATTATTATAGTCAGAGTTTCACCGTGAGTATCATATCCATCCATCCATTTTCTTCCCCTTAATTCATTTCTCAGGCGGGGGGTGGCAGTCAGAGCTGCACCCAGTACACTTAGCACCAGCCCCTCACTAATCCTCCTGCAGGTGGTGAGTCCACAGGATGGCTGCTCTGTCAGCGACAATACAGCCTTGATTTTTCAGCTGGGGCTTCAGGCAATGTGGGGTTAAGTGTCTTGCCCAACGACACAACAACAGCAGACATCAGTGGGAAATTACTATCATATGTATGTAGGAAAAACCATCATGGGCATGTGTCATTTTTACTTCTAATACAGAGAGATATGCATCACCTCAAGTAAAGCTCCAAATAAGATATCATTGAAAAAATTAAACTAATTTGAAAAATTAAACTAATTGGATTACCTTGTTAAGAGCAGGCTCTCCAGTGACGGCGCGGGCAGGACACTTGTATGGATCCTGGTGCGATGCAGCAGCTGTGGACGCCCACTGGTCATTGAAGCCCAGAGGGGTGAAGTACCCACAGTCCTGTACACTGGAGCCACGCTCAAACTCCTCACACACGCCGTCCCCATCAAAAACATAGCATTGACTGGGTTCGCCTTCAAAAACAGAAGATGTATAAGAGTCATGTTTGATTGTTTGTCTGGCACAAAATTATCCTACATTCTGACTCCATTTCAATTGTGTTGTCAGAAACACAAATCGACCTGGTATTTTCATTGGCAAACTGTTGCTTTTTTTGCTTTATTCACACAGCCAATCAGCCATTTTTGTGATATTAATAGTCAGAGTGGAAATATGGGACGTGGCATAGTAGATCCCACACAGGGCGCTATAATATTTACAGTGACCAGGTGAAAATTGAATCATCATGTGTAATAGATAGATTGTCCAAATAGTTCCTAAGTCTCATATTTTCAGACACGCACATGAAATTCTGGATCCAGATATACAATTATTTTCTGGTATGATTAATGATCCAATCTGTAGTGTTGAAAAGACCCCCCAGCATTGTTTGGCTTGCCGTTGACCCACAGTTCTAACTCCTGAGGAATATGGATTCTAAACTTGGGTTTAAGTGTCTGGATTACAATCCTTCACTCAAGAAGTTATGTAAGCATTGCATTCAATGGATTACCATGAGTGATGCTATCACTACAACTAAAGCTACTTATTTTAAAAACCATCCATTTTCTTCCCCTTAATCCATTTCTGGGTCGGGGGGTGGCAGTCAGAGCTGCACCCAGTCCACTTAGCACCAGCCCCTCACTGATCCTCCTGCAGGTGGTGAGTCCACAGGAGCTGAGATCTTTCAGTGGGAGCTTCAGGCAAAGTGGGGTTAAGTGTCTTGCCCAAGGACACAACGACAGCAGTCATCAGTGGGAGTCGTGAAGTAGGTCTTATGGTGGGCTTGAACCCACGACCTTCAAGCCCAAAGGCCAATGCTCTACCAACTGAGCTACTGTCGCCCCGTTTATGTTATTTTAAAAACATTTCACAAAAATACAATTTATTCCAATCTATCTATTGCGCAATATGACCAGCATATTTTGTGCTGTGGACCCCTGTTTTATCTGTATTACACAACACACAATGCAATACAATGTACATGTATTCTTGTATAGCCCTAAATCACAACAGAAGTCATCTCAGAGGACTTAACAAAACGAAAGAAATCACCAACACAGATCAGAGAATCAACAGTTAAAACACATAAAGAATACAGAACACATGTTGATAAATGTCCATACATGTTGTAGAATGTTAAAGTGTCCTGGATCATCACCACAGTCATTCTAGTTGGACACTAACTGCCCAACAGACCCTCCTTCATAAGAAAAACCCAGTGGGAACCCACTGGATCTATAGGTGTGGACGGACGGGCTATAGATCCAGGACCTAAGCTACAGAACGTGGACCAGGGCCACGCAGCAGCCGCTGAACGTGGACAGGTTCGGTGAAGGACTGAAGCACTCCCAGGCGGGTCTGGCAGGGCAGTCCGCAGGTGTGGATGGATTACTGCTAAACATTATTATCTGAAGCACTATACGTCTTTGTTCTGACTGGAGATATAGATATAGATACTGTGTTGTTACTACAGTATATCTTAAGCATGAGTCATGAGTCAAGCATGAGTTAAATATCAAGTGATGACATCTTCTGTTCTTATGCACATTGTTGCAAATCTTCAAAAAGCCTCGTCTCCTCTTGTTCGATCTGGAGGGACTCATACATAAACCATGTTACGCCGCTGCCTTGACTTCATTTCTCGACACTGAATAAAGCCATAATGAAGTGTGGTGGCTAGTCCCTGCAGCGCCAGGCACCCACACAGTCTGGAGTTGAATGATGTGGATCATGATGTATTTGGGTAAGGTCTATTAAATGGGCATAGAGTTACACCTGAATTGTTAACTATGCACGGATAACAGTGTGAGTGTGTGAGGAAGTGTAGTTTAATGACATTCTGTAATGCAACACATATTCATCTAATCTCCTGTGTTGTTTACAATAACATCTGGGCAGCTGCAGGACAGACAAAGTTATGTCTTTCATAACCAAAAGTCATCAAAGTAGATAAGCTCATGAAAATTATAAAAACAACAAAACATTGAAAGAGCTCCTTTTTGTCTTGGTACAATCAAGATGTGTTTTATCTTCTCGAAGTAAAGACATGTAATCCAATTTGCATTGTTTGTCGCTGGCTCAACAATAAAACTGAAAAACAGCCTGAAAGCTGCCAGGTTGAAAAAATAAAGGTTACTAAAGAGTAATGCGGTTAGGAAACCCAAACAAATATTCTGCCCATGACTAAGACCAATAATTGAATAATTGAATTTAAGTGTTCCAATTTGTAACTGCTGTTTTTGCCAAATTGTTTTCCTTACGAGTCATAATGTCTTTTGTTGTGAAAAACGAGAGATGTAATGGTCACGGCTCACGGCAGGGATAGACCTGCTGAAAGACATGAAACTCGCACCACGTATTTTCTAATTAAAATAGCATAGAAGTGATTCATGTCTCTGCATGTTATAAAAACAATCATTTGAGTACCAAAAAACCCCAAATAAAATATATCTACTGTACATAACACATGGCCCGCAATAGCATTATAGTGGACAAAAATGTAGATGTTTGATTATTGTTATTTTGTAAGGATTACTGTTATGAGATTAACTTGGGCTACTATGGCCTGTTACACATCATAACATGTGCGTTGAACATCGATAACTGTCTCGCACATCCGTTGGGTTTGAGATATTATTTGCAAAAAATCCGCTAAGTAAATTTCATGTCCACTTTGGCCCGGAGAGGGAAACGCAATCAACCCTATTTTTGACAAATGCCAAGATGCAGTCTACAATCTACTTCCTATGACATGGTTGCTTTCATGAGAAAATGTAAATATTTTGATTTTAAAAGCTTTAAATGTATGAATAATATGCCATAGCCCATACTAACCTTAACAAAGCAGTTAATAATGATAACTGACGTTTCTTTCAGGGGACGCATCATTTATAGTCTCCCTAAATGATTTAAAGCATACTCAAATATAGTAATGCAATTGGTTCATTGTCACTTATGTTCTGAAGTGAATTACATGACATTCCTTTGTTTTATTTCTCCTCCTTACCATTACAGTTGAAGCCCCTTTCTCTGAGGCATTTCTTGGAGCAGCCGTCTCCATCCAGAAGATTACTGTCATCACATTCCTCAGACCTGCGTGGATCACAGCCGTCAGTATTGTCTTTGTTTCACACAGATTATTTCAGAAAGATTGTATTGAACTGACCCCTGTAAGAATCCATCTCCACAGAAGGGCTGTCCGTGGACGTACGACAGTGAAGGAGACTCGTCACTCACATTCTCAGCTTCCACCTGAAGTGTGTACTTGTAATGGACACCAAGCTGGACTGAGCTGGACAGAGAATATGTAACGCATGTATATTAGATTATTGGAGCATTTCTTTATATTACAACAACAAATCATTGCAACTCGAAACAAATCTCAATTCTCTATCCAAATGGGTGCCAGAAAAGACACCTCCGAGAAGATACTTTTGAGTACTTTGAGTTCTTCTGAGTTTGGGTTGCATTCATGTAGTAAAGTTGAAAAGGAAAATGTCCAAATGTTTTCCCAGTTCAAAATTTGATAGTGGTTGGATTTACAAACTTGCCATGTTATATTTATGTTCTGACAAAGACGTTGATGTGGAATGTTTGACAGCTTTTCTTTCTTGTGGAATTACAGAGTAAAGGGCTATAAACCAAGACAAGAAGTTTTGACAGTTACCATAGTTACGAGGAAAGATTTTACAGCTACCCTCCACCACAATTTTAAACTATACGTTATTGAGTAAAAAAATCTGAATTAACATCAAATAGTAACAAGAATTAGTTATTAACCAATCAACACATCTGTTGGCAGCAAGGTCAGCTGATAGATGGGAACTTTGTTTCAGCATGTTTTCGGCAATATCTGTGTCTAAGAGCAATGTGTACAGGTCAAAGCAGATTATTACAGGCATCAGAGATGTATCATAGTTGTATCAGCATAAGGAAGTGCAAAGAGAAGCCTTGTGTCACACATATCAATACTGACTTCATTTGTTGAATATCTAGATTAGTGTTTGTTTACTCTGGTCTATTAAATGTCCAGTCATTTCCTCATATTTCAAACGGCTGCCAGGTGGTATTGGTGACGTGGTTTTGTTATTGTATAAGTGCACAGTTACTAACAAATAAATTCCCACTTTGATTGTATTACAGCTCTTGGTTGTTTTCCTTGTTTTTGCTCTTAGCCTGTGCAGAAATTCCACAACAGCTCTTTGGAAGTTTGTGATGTCACATGAACGCAGCAAATTGAGTTGTATGCATTTGATTGAAGTTGATATTGAAAACACATTTGTTATTGAAAAATATGAAAAACAACAACAAAGCACTTTTATGAATGTATGACCACAGAGAGGATTAGAAGTCACTGTACATCCACGAGCAATCAACATATCTCCCAGGATTATTGCAACAAAACCAGGCCTGTTCTCACTCTACTTTGGTCTGAAATTAAGTATCCTGTGACCCGACTGCCACAAAGCAGGAAGTCAGTGAAACATAAGCTTCATAAAAATATCCTGGTATAATACATATCTGAACACACACATCAAGTACGTGTAATTGTCAGAATGTTTGTCCGGTTGATATAAATATTTGATTAGAATGTGATATTATGTATATTATTTTTCATATGACATTCTAATCAAACATGTTTGTCTCTCAAAGAGAAACATTGTACAAATAATTGATTTAAATGTCTACCCCATCTTTGTCAAGAGTGACATTCATGTGTTTGACGTGTTTTTAACATCTTTGTACATGAATAATACAACAATGCAACTCAAACTAAAAAAACATTTTCGTTTCCCAGGCCTGGAAGCAAAACAATCTATATTTCTTTGAGCCTGTGGTCTTCTGAAAACACTATCTGCAAACACTAATAAGCAATAATTTGTGACCATGAAGTAATTTAACTAAAAAAAAGGAATACTGTTAAAGAGTATACAGGCTGTGTATTAATCTGGTGTATATTAGTTGATGATCATAAAAACTCTGTATCCCACAAACCATTGCAACATGGCGCCTGCAAATATTGAAAACAGGAGTTAAATTTTGTTTCAAATTGATATCATGGTTGCACACAAACATTACATTTAATGTTAAAAAATAGATACAGCTGACATCAAAGGACTCCACAGCATTCTGGGTATTTCAGTTCTAGGAAAAAGATCTCTCCATCAAAAAAATATTTTTCCAAATCTAGATTGATTGAACATCTAACTGAATTTAATTGTGCTTTATCACCACGTAGATGGTTTCATCCCAAGCTGATGTACTTATGGAGGTAAGACTTTTTTGGAAATCCATACAGCTTCATAGAAACGTGGATTTTACTTTCGGAGCTGACTCCCTGCCCACTTCCAAGCTTAATGCTAGCTTGTGGCTCATATTAAGAGTTTCCTTATGTCCTCTTTATATTTAAGGCTTAGAAGGTTCTTATAATAAGACAAACGTGAAAAGAAGCTACTACTGCTTAATCACCTGACAATTTTCGGCAGTAGAAACCAAAGACTGTAAATATAGAAACCCATGCTAATTCATGTATCGAGACACAAACCTGTCAGTGAAAGTCTGCTGTCTCTGAGCAGGGGGGTTTCTGGTGAAAGGCGGCTGTCTGTGGACCCTGTAGAGCAGAGGTTTGCACCCAGAGCACAGTGGGCTAGATGGACCGGAGGACAACATGGCAGCATCGATCTCCAGTTTCTCATCAAATGTGCTGAGTCTAACGGCCTCCACTGCAGCACCGTTTGTGCTGAGGTGCAAAGTCAGGGGCATGTCACAGAAAATGTGCTGAGGGCCCAAGTGGATGACTCCCTTTTCTGTGATCAGCTCTATGTCAGCTATGGCTGGGTTGTCTGACAAATAAAGAGAGAGGTATGTCATAGGTCAATGATCATTGAATCAGTAAATTATGTGATCATTAGCATGGGCGCTTTGACAGTAATTGTCATCTATTTAGTTTTAAACACATGATTCTAGTTAAAGCTGGAGTACCTCACCATAGAAAACAAACTATATATTAATATTCATATAACAAGTTGTAAGATCTAAGCGTGTGGTACTATCATTACTTTTAATAGGCAAGCTTTTTCATAAAAGGTTGCTTAAATATTGAGACAAACAAAATGTTTTTATGAAACAAAGACAAGTTAGGTACCCCATGCTAGTAGATGTCTGGGTAAAGGTATTTTTAGTTTTAAGGCTTACTTGAGGAGATGTAGGTAACCCACAGAGTGAGGCTGTGGGGCACCACAGGGTGAAGAAAGTCCAGAGTGAGTGCACAGCCCTCTCTCTCAGGACATGGAGACGTGACGTTGGTGTCATAGAGGCTCAGCTCCGGGCTCCAGGCCTGCAGACTGGGCTCACAGGACTGCTCCACATCAGGGGGGCCTGGGGGGCACACAGTGAAGACATGGGCCATGCCTTTAACTGGTGGTTAATAGTAATTGGCGCTTTTACTTTTGACTCATAATTAATGTGGTGTAAGTAACATTTATAAAACTAAACCCAAATGGTCAATTTAGGTTTTGTATAAACTGCTTTACCTGAACCAGTTACTTAGACCATTATGTGAGTTTATTTAACATCCACCCGTCCCTCGGCGGGCGATTTTTATTTTTATAATGTTCTGCTGGCAATAGCAGATGCATTTTGAACACCAAACCCCAAAAGCTGTATATCATTTTAATGCTTATTTTCTTATCTACATTTATATACAAGTGTAAACTATATAATTCAAAAGATATAACACATAATATGGGAACAAAATAAATCACTTACCTTTTCACTTGTGCTCCATAAATAAATCAGATCTCTTCCCAGCTTCCTGTGGCTCTTTCACTCCGTAAATGTCCATGGAAAAAGAATATCCACTTGTATTTCCCAAAGTATAATCCATTCTGGAGAAATAATCCAAAAATGTGCATTTATCTTTAGCAAAAAATGTTCTGAAAGAACACAGACGCTCCTTTTTCACTGTTAGCGGAGTTTCAGCCAAAGTTTTCCCCAAACACAGGGTATGCTCGTGTTCCCCAACAAAATGAGACCTTCCATGAGGTGATACACGCCCGCGTTAGTCTGCAACAGCCCTGGGAATAAAACAAGCTAACACCGTTTGCGCATGGTTCGCCGTTGTTGTTGTTAGCCAGACGGCTAGGGAAGTGTTCTTTTGCCGAATGATTGACATGTCTAAGTAGCCAATAGGGAAAGCTTTCTAGCAACACAGGGATCAAGAGTTCCGAGCTTCCGGCTCTACCGCACGGCATTGTGCGTAGTATTCTCAAAAAAGTGGGCATAAACCAGTGGGGGCGGGTTTTGGCTCAAAAGTGGCCAAAATGATGTGCGCTGACCATGGATCTATTATAATAACTGGATAGGGTATTACTAGCTTGGAGCTGAATAACCCATGTGGTGGTACTGCAGACTAGATCAGACTAAATTCTCGTGGGCTACCCAGAAATTTTCCCCATAGAACTCAATGCATATTAAAACAGTGCAACCTCAGCTGACAGAGAACCTACAACTTTAATAAAGGTCGGATTTTGTGGGGATTTTAGTAGTCCACTTTTTTTTTTCTTAAATCCTTCGGTTTTGTTTAAATCCACACTTTAGTGCCACAAACTCTGCTCGTCTGGCTCTCGCTCTAACTCCCGCTCTGATGAACTGCTCTGATTGGTCAGAGCGCGGCCGAGCCCCTCTGTGCACGTGCGTGAGACCCGGTGTGAGACCCACACAATGTATAGCTACTTATCTAAGTATATTTTTTGTGCTCCTTCTCTTATTTTATTTTAGAAGTGTCAATACTAACTACGTACATTGACTACAAATGGAGAGAAGCATGCTGCTAAATCTGGTGCAGCCATCTTTCTAATGTAACTGTAATGTAACTCTAATGTAATGTAACTCTAAACTCTAAACTATTGCACTTTGTGTCTGCGGTGACCTTTGTCCAGTAGAGTACACAGGCAGAGTGAAATGGGGCTAATGAACATATACAGGGCCACGCAGAGTGAATATGTGACAGACACCGCATTACGGGGCCCTTGAGCGCGAGTGAAGGAGATGTCACTAATGGCTCCATCAGGCCACGGTCAGCTGCCCCAAATCAGCACTTAGACAAACGGCATCTGCTCTGCGCCCCACGCTGCTTTAAAACTTCCATCACGCTTAGCAAACTCTGACATACCTAGCTCTCTCGGAGGTGGTAATGCAGGTGGTCCAGTATAAGGGGATTAGGGAGATGGGAAAGGCAGGGCACTGAGAGGTTGTGACTCAGAAGGCTGGCAGAGGAAGAAGGGGCTGCACTGCTTTAAAGCCACGCTGAACTTTGTGTGAAGTGAAGATGCGAGAGGATGTAAGCCAAGACATTTCCGCTCGCTTCATCTGTGGATCCAGGTGGCAGCAACTGGAAAAGAGGAAATCCTGCTCGCACCTGGAGGCCGGATCTAACTGGAAAGTTCAACCCAGAAATCTCAAAAGAAATCAACAGGCAAAGTGATGTATGTGTGTGTGTGTATGTGTGTGTATGTGTTTGTGGGTGTGTGGGTGTAGAAGCAGTGGTAAATAGGGAGGTGATTTAGGACATAGCTGATAAATAATAAGAAAGACTTCTACTTAATGTAGTGTAATTGATGGATAATTGGCTTCATGATAATACAGTAAAATGATTTTTTTTTTTCTATCTTTCTTTTGGTGTGTTTGTGTATCTGACCTCAAGCAAATGTGAATAACCTAATGTGTTAGGATGTGAGTACTCTATAAGTCATTTGTGTTTAATCACTGTGTGCATTTATTGTGTTAGTGTTAGTTATTGTAACTTCAAGTCATTCATTGAATTAAGTGGGTTGATTATATTCTACGTGTGCTAGAGATTGAAGACAGTGAATTGTATCAAGTCTCCTGTTCTGTTTTTTTGCCTGGCCTAGAGAGCTCAGATCTCAACCAGGACTATAGGCCCCTCATGAGTAATTCCTACAGCAGATTTTCCATTTTGGACTTGGTTATATTGACGGAAATGAAAACCGAATACACATCCATTGTGTACAGTAGAAGGGTGAAGGGACAGAGTGAAGGACTATTCTTGCCTATCAGCGGCTGAAATTTTGCAATGATGATAAAAAAACAAATGTGCACAAAGAAAATTTCAAGGATGTCATTGACATCCACATGCCCTTTCATTGACACTAACAAAATGTGTTATGACTTCTATCTGCAATTTTTGTGTGTGTGTGTGTGCGCGTGTTTGTTATGTTTAGGATAATCTTACAGTCTTTATTACACATGCAACGTGATTGTCTCCCTGTATATTCAGTTTTCAGAAATACTGCCTTGTTTTACCTAATCCTTTGTCTTAGTGCCGGCCAGGTTAATCCTTCTATAACCATGTAATAATCTCTCTGGACGAGCTCAAAACGGTTGAATGTGGTTTAGACTGCTTTGTAGAATAGAAGCTGTAAAGACAGTGTTACACAAGCACCATCTAGTGGCAGAATAATTAAATACACTTTAGTGGAGCATTTTAGTGATCCATACAACGGACTAAGACTAGAGCAAACTATGATTTTATTATTAACTTCAACTTAAAATAAGATGACTTATTTATTATATAAATGTATTATATAAATAAGTAATCTTTATTTATATATCGCATTTTCATAGACCAAGGTCACCCAAAGCGCTTTACAATATTTTGAGTTCAGATATTGTTGAGACGCCGAACACACTGGCACATTAAAGCCCCAACCAACATCATTACATTCATACCTATTAACCATAATCCCAGCCTTTTGCTTAAATTCATGTCAGCCTGAAGAGTGTGGAACATTTTAGACATTTCACATTTGACCAAGTGCTTTCATGCATTGTTCCGAAAATCCACTTTTATCCAGGAAACAAGAAATTATAATTTAAAAAGAAGTCATACACACAAAAAGGCACACTTTGAAGCCTTAGACATACTGCAGTAAATGGTGTGACTCAAGTCAAAGGAACAGCCTGGGCCAATGAGAATTGTACAAAGATGTGAATAGTTCTTTGCTGCATCTGTTGTTAGCTGTACAGAGGAGCAGTGAAAAACCATATTCGTACACTTTGCTTTTTGAATACGGATGGAAATACAACATGTCCTATAAATAATGTTTGTTGGTATACACTGTAAATGATATCTATGTCTGTAGCACTCTTAAGATAATATAAGATGACCTTTCGCCTCACTGAGGGGAAATATCAGTGTTACAGTACTTAACAATGGGAAAAATAATACTCAAGTAAGACTAGAAAAGCACTAGTAGAGCTACACCACTATAGCCTACTCCTTTAATAAATCCTGGATCCAGAGTGATTAAGTAATTTGTTCTTTGTCCCATTTCCAAGGTTTCCTGACACTGGTGAGCTGTTGGAGTAGTAAAGACTGCTCTTGGGCACTACTAGTCAGGGCATCTAGTCAGCCTGTTTCATCCGCACGCTCACAACAGTTTGCTCTTTAGAGCCACAATTGTCCCATTGTGACGCTCGGTATCCCCAGTGGCCGCCCACTACTGTACTAACCAGGCCCTGCACTGCTTATTTAGCTCCTAAGAATAAGTAAAAGTTGCAATTGTTTTTGGCTTGGAATGTAAAAGAGACAGAAGTGCCCGTGGTGTTTGGTGCACTCGGTGCAGTGACCCTGAAGCGGGAGGAGTGGTTACAGCAGATCCCTGGATATATATATATATATACATTGAGACTGCTATAATTTCTTCTATCTGGGTCACAGAGTTTGAGAGTGATAAAAATGATTTCTTTTGTGGTTGGAAAAGCAGGTAAAAGCCAACTTAAAAGCAATGTAAACCAAATAGTCTTCAGAGACTGAGCTGTGCTGCTTAAAGCTCTTTGTCACATGTATAGAAGTTGACAGGCGGTTAAAAGTGTGAGTGCACCTTGCATGGTTTAAAAACACCTCACAGAAGAAGACTAAAGGGAAGAAAACTGCGGGAAATTGTCACGATGTGTGAAAACTCAAACTGTTTATTCTATTGGAAACAATGCAACATTTGTTTTCTGCATTCACACCCCACACACTCCCTGCGTAGAAACATGCGTGTAAATGAATATTATTTTAGACCTGGAGTGAGAAACCCTGTCATCATGAGAAGCCTACAATTGTCAAGTGTTAAAACAGTCAAAACAGCCTTAAAACTGATGAAACATCATTTATTTGTCCGTGATCCATTTACCCTTACTGCCATTATATTGTATTTAAGCTTCTACTTATGTTAATTATTATTTTTAGACATATAATATAATAATAATAATAATCTTGCTGAGTTGCACAAATATTTTCTTATAAAAATCCATCCATCCATTTTCTTCCCATTAATCCATTTCTGGGTCGGGGGGGGGGGGGGGGGGGTACACTTAGCACCAGCCTCTCACTGATCCTCCTGCAGGTGGTGAGTCCACAGGAGCTGAGATCTTTCAGCGGGAGCTTCAGGCAAAGTGGGGTTAAGTGTCTTGCCCAAGGACACAACGACAGCAGTCATCAGTGGGAGTGGCTTATCATGATTATTATTATTGAAGATAATTTTAAATTTTTATTATGAAATGATATTTCTAGTCCATAAGTGCTATGAAACAGTTGTGTCTTGGAATGGGAGCATATCCCAAAAGCACTGATCCCTTGTGTGTGAATTATATGATCAATAAACAATAAACATCAATGCAAATATTTTTCAACATTGATGGCTTTACTTCTGTTATTCAAAACAAAATACCAGTTTGAAACACCACTTAAATCTGTAAAAAATAGTACCTTAACCTTGAGGCATAAAGTTGTTACTGTTAGTCAATTATGTGTTGTGGTTTCTGCCGCACAACCTGTCACTCAGCTGTCAGCTCGTCAGAGGAATGTTGTGGGCCCAAGGCTGGAGCTGCAGAACTGCCTAAAGGAAGAAACTGTTTTGTTTTTTGGAACAAGGAAAAGAAAGTGCCCAAATTGCTGTTGTAACAGGTCTGTAAAAGTCTACCACACGCAGCCACCCCAAACCTGGCCACCGAACAAAATAAGAAATGTGAATTTACAGTTTAAACTTCAGATAAAACTTTGTACGTACATGTTTTATTAGGAAACAGACTGTATAGATGTCATTGTAAACCCATTCCTCTTATAGCAATATAATGCTGTATTCCTTTCACATACTTTTCAAAGGGGAATATGTGCTCCTTTGTAGCAGTCTCTCAAATATTTACAGAGCTGCTTGTATATTCTGTGTGTGATGCGGAGAAGCTAAAAGGTCTCCAAACAGAAGATAGGGGACTGTGGGGCTAATGCTCTTTAACTGTATGCTCAAGGAAAGCATATTCTGTGTTGAGACGTGGCTCTCCCTCGCTCCCTTATTAGATTAGACATAAAAGCTTCTGATTTAATACTTTATGTCTTCTCTTGATTTTAAAGAAGAGATATTAAGCTTTATTTCTGGCCAATAAAAATGATGACAAGGCAATTAACTTTGTTTTCAAACTTTTTCGAATGTGAATTAGTGTCCTAAATAGATAATATATTGTGAAACAAGAGAGGTGTACAATTAGTTTTATTTATTTTTTCAGATTTGAAACTTACCGGGTGCAAACACAAACATGGACGTGTAGAAAATTATATTTCATCCAAGAAATGGGTTAGGAATTAAATTAGTTTTTGGGCCAAAACTAAATTAATGAATTAATTAAACATGAATTAACATAAATGTTTATAAATGTACATAAATATCCTTAAATTTAGGGGAAATACTATTGTTTTAAAGGGCACAAAACTGCGCTGAAAAACTGTACTTTTAAGCCGTCATTGTCTTAACTTTTTAAACAATTTATAAACATCATGGCCCGTTCTCGTCCTTTTATTCTTTGTTTTTTCTCATTTACGCTTATATCAATTAAACCCTTTATTCTTCCAGGTAACTCTCCCTCTGAGGAGTCTGAGGAGCGGGATAAGGAGCCCCGGACTCTCACCTATCCTGCGTACATAGCCAGTCTGCTGGACACTGGGGCGAAGCGCATGGCGGCGGGAGTGCGTATGGACTGCACCAGCCAGGGTCAGTGCCCACGCGCCTGTCACCTGTGCCACATGAGCCCCAGAGCAGCTCAGGGCCGGCAGCCGTCTGAACCCGTCCTACTGCAGATCACCAAGGCAGCACCCATCTACGAACTGGTGTCCAACAACGAGACATATCAGGTGTGAATGCATTTTTATTTCCTCCAATAACATAATATCTTTATGTAAACTACCGGTAGTGTCAAGAATGAGAACCCAGCTTGACATGAAAGGATTTTTAAATGCATGTAAAATGACACATAGACCAAATAGATTGACATGAATGAAATCCCTCTAGCTCATGGATGAAGTTTTGCTCCAACTTGCTCTGGCACCTATTGACGTAAACTCCCCAAGCTTTGTAACCTGTCACAATTTGGGCTCAAAAAATATGTGGTTTAGTGCTCTATGATTGTGTTGCCAACAATTCGGATCGAGCATACTGTGCGTTCAAGTCTACTTCTTCCGCATTCGGCAAACACTATTGGTGACGTCCACCTGGTTAGTCCACTTCAAAGAACAGTCTCTGGTTCTTCATCACCATAGCAACACACAGCATTGAGCACAAACAGTTAATTTACAATTGCATCATTATATTGTAATTTGTAAAGGTCTATTAAACAAAAGCATGGGGAATTAATTATTAAGTGTTATCTATAAGTCACGATTTTAATGTATAAGACTATTTTTGTCCTCTGTCTTTGCGCGTGTCTTCATTTTGGTCTTGGAAACAGTTACTATAGGGCTTATACTAACTATTAGGTATAAGTCGTTTATTGAGAAGGTAGCGGAAAGTGTTGGGTACAAATATAAAACGATTCAAATGACTGAGTGTTTTAGACTCCATGCAACTCCTCACTTAATCCTTACTTAATAATTTCATATTGTTCTCTTATCTTTTAAACACACAAAGTTGCTTTTGGAGTGGTTTGAGCAATATTTTACCAGGTACCTAGTGTTCTTTATTTACTTGTTTGCTGATTTATTTTCTCATAATCCATGGACAAGGATGTTTGAAAAATAAAAAAGCGGCTGCTCTCACTGATATGATCTGAGCATGGCCTTTGATGTAACTGTCTTTACAGAAGCAAAAATCAATACCACAAGCACAGATGCTGCAACTTGTTTAATTCATTACATTGTCTAGAATCAATATTATTATTAGTTAAAAAACGATGATCACTATATAGCAGGCAAAAGTGCAAGATGTTCTGGTAGTTCTATAATTAAAGCTTCTTAGTGAGATGAGTAGTAAACAAAAGGTCAGGTTCAGTTCTAACACAATGGGGAAGTGCTGGTGCAGTTTGTGTCTGGTCTTGCTTTACTCAACTGGCTGCATGCTGAGTTGTAAAATGTCTCGTTCTACATCAATACTGTAATACTGGCCAGAAAAAAATATCAATGCACTCAGGAAGAGCTGCAAACCCACAAAGCATCCTCACCATCAATACAGGCTGACTACATGCTGCACAAGGCAGCAAAAACACCACCACGTTTCTCCAAAATTCATGAAGAAATAAAGAAAAATTGTGTTAGAAATGTAATCCACCACATGGGATCCAACAGTCTGAAAACACAGGCTTAGAGATAGATTTGAATTGACAACAGTTTACTAAAGCAAAGACTCAACATGCAATGTGGTCCCAATTCCCTTTCCTTAGGCCTAATTCTCTAATCCAAGACCATTCAAATTGATCCCATTGTATTTAGGTGATTTCGAACCTGGGGTAACAAAAGGAGCCGTATATATATCACTCAGACAAGACCCAAGGTGTCGGTTGTGCAAAGAGGAAGACGATACATAACTGCAGGGTGCAAGATGCTGGCAGGGAAGGCCTACATAGAACGCCAAAACCAAGTGGCTGGCATAGTGTACAGAAACATCTGTGCAGAGCATGGGCTGGAAACCCCAAGGTCTAAGTGGGAAACTCCTCCAAAGGTGGTGGAGAATGAGCGTGCAAAGATCCTGTGGGACTTCCGTGGTGGTGGACGTGGCAATTCCAAGCAATGGTAACATAAGGGGGAAAAACACAAAAAGCTAGGGAAATACCAAGGGCTCAGAGAGGAGCTGGAGAGGGCCTGGAGGGTAAAGGTGACAGTTGTGCCCGTGGTGATCGTTGCACTCGGGGCAGGGACCCCAGAGCTGGAGGAGTGGTTATATTTATTTATGTTTTAATAATTTTTATAGAAAAAAATGTCAAATTTTTTAGATCAGATTTTTCAAACAGAAATGGGAAAAAGTCACTCAGCTTATCAGCTCTCAGTCCAAAGTTTGACAGGGCTCATTCTTACAAGTATGCAAAAGAAACTATGTTTTCTGATAAGATAAGACATTTTACTTTTACAAAAATCTATGTTGGCACAAACAACATGCGTTACTTATTTAAAAAAAATAGTTTGGTAGCTAGCTTTAATGGTTTAATACAGTAATCAGGACCAAATAGCAGTATGGCTGTATATTTTGGAGTTATGTATTTCATCATGCTTAGTAGAAAGAACTTTTAACAATACATGTGCGTGCCCCTTTGTGTTGCTTTTGTGTTATTCCCTTCTCTACTGTGCAGGAGGAATGAAGAAAAGGCAAGTAATAGAATTCATGTTCAGATGGAGGGCAGGTATGGGAAAATTCTATGGAAGAGAAGCAATTTTTTCCACATTTTTTCCCAGATAATTACTTTATAGATTTGTTCCGCAAACCCGCCATATCATTTTTATGTCTAAAAGTCCGACATCATGCATGTCTTTTTGAGAAATTGTCACTAGTTCTATACACATTTAGTAAGAACATGTTTGACATGAACTGACAAAGAAGAAACATATCAATATTATAATGAGATTGGCCCAGAAACGACTGAGAAATTGGCTCCAAAGACAGGTCTGACTTTTTATAGATGAAAGCTTTTATTGCTGCCCTCCATCACAAAAACTATAGGCTCTTTGGAACGTTGTAATGTCACCTGTACGCAATCTGTACTGGGAAAAAAATAGATCTATATAACATAAATGGATTGAAAAACTTGAGAGACTTGATATTGATCCTGTGGTTTTTACACCTGTCAACGCCCCGTCAGACATGCTATTTAAAGTTGAATAATCTGTACGGTAAATACATCTGTCATCTATTCACACCTGCACCTTGTCCGTGTGCAGGCTCTTCAGGAGGCCATGATGAGCATGCTGTGGTGCTCGGGGAAGGGAGACGTTATCGATGACTGGTGCCGCTGCGACTCCAGCTCTTTTGGCTCAGACGGACTGCCCACCTGCGCCCCACTTCCTCAGCCCAGGTTAGCCTGCACCAACCGCATTAGCGCCTCCAAAAACACATCAGTCATAAACGTGCTCCTGTAAGTACCATCCATCATCTCACTGGCCCACTCCCACTTCCTGCTGAGGGAACTTTGTTGTCAATGCTGGCTCCAGCTGTTTGTCCCAAGCTCTTGGGCTATTGTGCTAATCGCTAAGAAAGCACAATCCACAAGTGATGCTACTAAATTTATTGCACCTGCAGCGCCTTAGAAACAAGTATGTTTTTTCCATGTTCTTTCATATAATAAATCAGATATATAATGCGCCAATAGCCTCTGCACAATCCAAAGAAACTTGTTTGATGTTGAGTAACAACCATGGAGAGAATGAAGTTTATCTGGATTTTATGACAAACATATTCTGTCTATATTTGCAAAATGGGATTCAGTCTTATCTGTTAAAAGCAATGAATAATCTAAACACACATTCTTCTTTTATTAGGCCTCATCTTCTTTATTCTTTTTTTGAGTGATCTTTTACCAATCACAGCGAGGTTTGCAACATATTGCCAGGGTGGCCACAGGAGTCCACACCCCAGGGCCAAACAGATAACTTTGCTTGACCAGACGTCCTCATTTTCCCAGACATGTCCAAAATTTTCAAAACCTAAAAACACGTCCTGCAGAAATTTCTCTTAATTTCTCATTTCTTCTGTATGCCTACTCCTGCCACGCTAGCACAGCTGGAAAAAATCTACATCTGTAGATTTATTAGAAATAGCAGCTTAATATTTCTTTGTAAGCATGGGCAGGGCTAAGACCATATAAGGAATACAGCTCTTTAAGCTTGTAAAACTGCTTGTGGAGTGTCTTAAACAAATTTCAACATATGACCGACATCCTGAGAGATACGATATGAGGCTGTGTGAGAAGAGGGAAGGCGCTCGTTTGTTTTCAGACATGGGATCCAATTAAAAGAAGGGTTAAGTTAAGAAAATTAAAATTTGTCCTCTTGACCCATCCAGCAATTCCACAAGGGTAGTAGTGGTCATCAATGCTCGGCTCGGTCAGGACTCCCAGAGCTTTCTATTTTGGAGCACCTGGGGGTAACCTACGCAGACACAGGGAGAACATGCAGACTCCTCTCAGAAACACCCTATTCTGAGCGGGATTTGAACCCAGGACCTTCTTGCTGAGGAGTTGGAGTGCCTATACCCCTGAGCCACCCTGCCGTTGAGCCGTTGAACCACATTCATTCTTAATGTTTTATTTTCGCAATCTTGTCACCCTATTTTTGACCCTTGAATTGCTAGTGAATTGGCTCATATTATACCAATAAGAAGAGTTTAAAACTAATTATGTGCATAATACTTTAACAGTATGTCGACCCTCAATGATAAAAAGAAAAAAGAAAACATTGACTCCCCCTTAGACAAGATAAATAAATAACATCTTATGTATTTATTTGTTTGTTAGTTTTTTTATTCATGTAATTATTTATTTCACTTGTGGACATGTCAATGCATCACATTTAAATGTACATTTCAAATAATTGTAGTCCTGTCATACAATTAAAATGGAGCAGAAAGAAAAAAATAATCTCATGTGGCCTGCCCCTTTCTTAAACATGTACAAATTAAAAGAAAAAAAAAATAGTGGGATATTAACTGTGTGTCATGAACAATTTACTTTTTTCCATCAGACTATTGTATACTGTATATCCTAAGTATTGTGTTCCCCTCATGCATTTATACATTGATTTATTCAATGCATGCTTGAACTTTGCACCTCGTTCAGAATCTGAATGTCATAAAATGGGAGAATAATGCAAACATTGTTTTCAGTGCGTGTGCTCTGTCGACAGGCTGAAGCTGTCTTACACGTATGAGCCGAGCAGTTCATTGGTCATCATGGAGTGGACCCACAGCGAACCCCCGGTCGGAGTGCGCATCGCAGATTACCTCATCAGCCAGGAAAAGGTGTCCGAGAGAAGTGACCACTCCAAGGTTGAGACAGGTATTTGATTAAGCTGATTTAAAACTATGCCACCCTTGACATCCAAATGCCAGCCGTGTCCCTTCGGCTTTTACAGTATTCACAAAAAGATCATTTTCATATTGGGTGAGGAGTCTGTGTTGTATCGTTTTGAGATGTGTGAGGGGTCATTCTGTTGGCTCCAGTTTCTGTAGACAGCTGCTGGCCAATGATCATCATTTGTGCTGGCTCAAATTCGCAAAAAAGCCAATTTGTCAGCACCATGTGGCCTCAAATACCTAATTTGTTTATGTAGTTCACCACCTGGGAAACACCATAACATACCGACAGCATTTTCAGCAACTTCACAGTTTCATTGTATCTATTGTAGCTGAGACCTACTGTACATTGGTGCATTCAGTTTAGAATACAGTAAAACAGTATCTATACAATAGTTCTTTTTATTATAAATACACAGTAAAACGCATTACAAATTAATTCAATTACATGTGGATAAGAATGTACATTTGTAAATGTGTCACCCTTGAAGCAGTATTAGTTGATAAAAGGGGCCTTAAGTGTAAATCCCAGCAGCAACAAGAAATAAATACCTGTACCAACTGACTATAAATGTGGGCTTTTAAAAGCACACATTTATATTCATTATCAGAGCCAAAATAGAGAAGCAGATATTGATGTAATAGTTTTTTTAGAGGTCATCTGGTAAGTGGGGTTTCAAGGTTTATTATACAGTAGTTTTCAAAGTGCTACATTTTCAGTTTCTTTAGAATATAAGAAATAGCCACAGATTCAGATTTAATGTTCCTGTTGAGCTCATTCCAAACCTGGAACTAGAGCTATAGTACATGTGAGTTTTCCGGGTTCTTTGCGGTGTAGAGATCGGGATGAGCTGACCCAATCTGTCCTTGAGTCCAACCCAGTGGGGGCGGGTCCCGGCTCAAAAGTGGCCAAAATGACGTGCGCTGACATGCTTGCAATACCAACCCGGGCCGATGGGGGTGGAACCCGGAATAAAAATTAGCTAATGCTAACATATAGCATCTTCTTATCTCTCGAAAACGTCTTTACTGTACAGGATGGTCCAAAAGTTGGCCCAAAGCTCCGTTCCACATGTGTGTCAATGCTGAGGGGAGTGAATTTATTTGGACCACTCTGGTTTACTCGCTGTGAATTTTTGCACTTGTTTAAATGAATGGAGCTCTCGCCGGCTGATGCATGCCATTTTGGATAGCTCGAGTAGAGCACAATTTTTGGCCCATTAGTTTGAACGGCGGAGATAGGCGTGACTACGTCCGTTAATACTTACAGTCTGGGCCAACCACAACATTATACATTGTTCATGTGTTTGGATGGGTTTGAGAGAAATGAGATCTGTAGAACCAATATTAACATCTAAATGTATTATATTTTATATTTCACTGAGGAATTAAAATTTCATTCAAGCATGTGAGTATAATACAATGTAACCCATAATAACCTAATATATCTGATTTTCTCAAGTGAGGGAGCACATTATTAAGCAGACATCTATTGACTTATGGTAGTTGTAAATTCTTCCACAAGATGGCAGTAAATAGCAACAATTTTGATGTACCTTATTAGCTTTTGGCAGCAGACTTTGACTTGTAGTATCACACATTTTATTACAACTTTGTGTATAAAAAAATAAGTGGAGAAGGATACAGGAACCACAATTTTAAATGGCATATATTTTAGTATCTAACTATCACATTTACATAGATAGCTTGTACCAAACTATCAAACAACAAAAGAGCTGTTTTCACATGTATGTATTTTTGGCCTCTGTCATTTCTGCTTTTTCAGACAGAAAAGGGAAAACTAGAGGACCACCCACACCAGCCAATCAGCTATCAACCCAAAGCATCAAATAGTGACTCAGAGGGCTTTTCTTACAAATCTGTTTCCTCATATGATTCCTCATATGATTCCTCATTTGATTTCCTCATAAGACAGCATTTTGTAGTCTGACTTGTCCACAACATTAAACGTTTACAAAACTCTCTCTGTTGGGACAAACAACATGTGTTTTTTATGAAAAAATAAAAAGTTTGGTACCACAGTTTTAATGCCATTTACAAGGTCATGTTGAAACCTAAACTTACAAGGCTCAAAGTCATATGGACATCTCTGTGCATTGTATTTGCGTGCACATAGCTCCCACCCATCCATAACCCTGCTTTTTCGTTTATTTGGCCAGGTAGAGGTCTGTAAGACTGGGTGCTGGCAAAACAAGTGTGGTTTATTTTAGCAGTAATGATCTAATCCATAATGGAGGCTGTTACAGTTCCCTGCGTGGACCAAGGTTTGTCGTGGTGTAATGAAAGAATAAACTGTGTTAGTCTGAGTGCTGCGCGTCATCCATCAGAGAGGGGATCCAGGGGAAGGAAAGCAGCAGGAGAGCGTTTGGTTTATGAGTGCTACAAACATAATGGGGCTTCATCTATCCAACTCCGAGGGGTTTATTTTCACTTTTATTTTAAAGTTAAATTATAATGTGTACTTAGAGAGACAGGGCTCAGTGGGACTACTTTCCCTTATTAAAGTGGGCTGTTTGAAGCTTTTAACCAAATTCTGCAAAAAAGTATGAGAATAAATTATAAATGATTTGGTTTTTTGAAAAGAATGCACACATCTCGTTATTCTTGAAAATGGGAAAATAGTATTTGGACTTACATAAATAAATGATAGGGCTGTCGGTCTTTAGTTTAGTTGCAGGGGCCAATGGCACCTCCAACTAAAGGTGATGGTTGCCTCACTTCTGTCAGTGTGCCCCAGGTGAGCTGTGGCTACAGTAGTAGTTTATCACTGCTGTGTGTGGAGGGAAAGAATACAGCCACGTGAAGTGTCTTTGTCCAAAAACACACTATATAAAACCGATACATCATATAGTATTATTATTATATCATTAGTTGTATAGTCAATTGTATTTACACCAAAACTACTAATTAGTTCATCTCAATTACAAGAATGTATACAGGAAAACTGCAAACGTCAGCCACCATAGAGCTAATTCACAGAATATTTTGGTGTTTGATTTGAAATTCAAGCCAGATAAATCCTCTCCATTTGCAATACTTTTACTGTAATTCAATAGATCATTTATAGTGATGTTAATGAAGTGGGTGGCAGAGTGGGTGGCAGAGTGGTTATCACTTCTCGGCAAGAATGTCCTGGCTTCGAATTGTGTTTGGAACAGGGCCTTTCTGAGTGGTTTTGCATGTTCTCCCCGGGTCTGCATAGGTTAACCCCAGGTGCTCCAGTTTCCCCTACCGCTAAAAACAAATCCTCCAGCTCTAGTCCGGACCAAGCCGAGCATCAACATCTGGAACTGGGTCCCTGATCTCTGTACTACAAAGACCGCTGCTTCTGACATACCTTGACCCTAATATTTATTGTTGGATTTTATGCCGGAAGTTTTGTGAGTATAGTTAAGGTTGAATATATATGCATGGGTTTGAGAGCTTTTAATAGTTGACCATTCTTTGGTCGACTCCAGCCTTGTAGTAAACTTATGTGCAATACAGATACATTTTTAGATGCCACGTTATTATTGTTTTTATTTTTATTTTGACACAATCACCTGGGCAGAGAGCAGCTCGGGGGTCATATACGGCCCAATTCACAATTTCTATGTGACCCTGGACTTTTTCCCATCTACAAACTTCATACCGTCTCCCCCTATTTAAATGAATGGGAATTAATACCCAATGAATGTTTTCAACTAAGTGCTACTTTGGTATGTCATGCCTAATGATAATGAATCAAAAACATGTATCTGCCCACAATACTCAGCTGTCTTCCTTTAGCGTTCGTCCAGCTTTGATTCTATGCATACAAGAATATGAATCTAAAGTCAACTACATAGATCTGTTTTTGATAGAATAAGAATGTCCTCAAAGTTTGCCCCATATTGTAAAAGGTTAAGTCTAAAATTTAGCAACAGCTAAGCACATTTATCCCAAAAAATATATAGTTGAAAAAAGTTGTTTCACAGTGGCTAAATAAGAGATGAATGTATCCCCTCAAGGGTCCCTATTTTCATCCATGATTATTCTTTTGCCTAAACAAACTTGTGTACTTTTCTGAAACCAGAATAAAGAAATGGAAAACTATTATTGTGGAAATTGGTTGAGTGTACAGTAATCATTGCGCAGCTGAAACGCTAAAGGGAGCCTTCTCTAGGAACAACAATGAAATATCACTTCATGGCAAATCTGACCTTTCAATTCTTGTTTTGGAATACGCAGCATAATTTCCTCTTGTGGCCTTTTGAACAAATTGCCAGACTTAGTGCGCCATTACTCGTTTGTTCCATATCCGAAACAAAACAAACGCTGGTCTCGTCGTCTAATCTGTGCTGTCAAAGTGAAAGATGAAAAGTATGGATTGGGCCTCGCTTTTTGTGGTCATTTTAAATCAGCGAGGCTAAAATATTGTGTTTATGTTATGTTCAGTCATGATGTCTTATCGCCCTCTCTCTCAAAGCATCAGAAAAGTGGTTGCGTATGACTTCAAAGTTCTTCTTCATTTAGAATAGGAAGCATTTCAACCGAAAGTATAGATGAGGTCATTGTTTGTAATGGTAGAAGTTAAAGAAGAAGCCACCACATCCCCATCTGATAGGTTTTTGAAACTCTTTATTGGTTGACTTTTTCTTCTTTAAACCAGACATAATTAGGTTTAGTTTTCTTAGAATTTCTATTTCATTTCTTGCATAGAGTCAGTTGGCCGCTGACCCCGTTTTGTGATGTCATCAGTTAAATTGCGTTGTTCTCTTAAAGGGACAGTATGTCAAATGTTAATTTTAATACGCGTCTACTAATTTTATGCGTGTCCCCAGATAATATGTCAGGATGTACGAATTATATCTGGCCATATCTTGTAAATTATTTCAAATTTACTGCTAATAACAAAACATGTAGAAGATTGTAGCTCAGGGAATACAAAAATGAGTCTTTTTGCAAATGAAGTCTTCTTGTATATTTACATTTTTCTAGCCA